TGTTTGGAAATCACGATTCCTAAAATCATGATTTATTCGGATTTACATTCAGATTTTCATATTGTTTGGAGAAATAGGAGATTTATTCGGATTATGATTCCTTATTGTTTACCAATATAAAAGTATTTGATGTTATTAATAAAAAAACGAAAAAATCTGATTTTCTATTTTTTTTTTACTATTTTTAAGAGATAATTAATGAAAGTAGCGGGAAATTGTTTCTAAATTTGTTTTATGTTAATTGTTATTATATAGGATCAACATATATGTTAACATATATGTTAACATATAAGTAACATATATGTTACTTTCACGTAAATACTAATATATGTATATAAATTATTTCTAACAATTATTAGAAATATGATTAATTCTTAAAAAAAAAATCTTTATTGACAATTATTAATTAAATGTTTTATATTGTATTTTTAAATTTTTTTAAAATATGTATGTTAAGTGTATTTCTTAAATTAAGTGTATTATATATGTTAAGTATATTTCTTAGATTTATTTTGATTTTTATTCCATATTTTTTATTGTATTCCTAAAAAAATTGGATAAAAAAGGTATGCTAATAAATAGAGATTTTGTTAATTTACTATTTTTAGGCAATAATTAATGAAATTGGCGGGAAAGTATTTCTAAAAGTGAATTATGTTAATCCTTATTATATATTAATAGATTATCCAAATATGATCTTAAAGATTTTTTCCTTAAATAATTTATGCAATGATTTTACTGATATCCATTATAATTAATATTTGTCGAGTAATATTTTTTAACCTTTCTTTAATTATATAACACTAATATTGTTTAAAAAAATTAATATTATTTATTATTTAAAAGATAATGATCACATCATTAAATGATTTTATTGATATTAAATAATTTTATTGATGGTTAGATAATAAAAATATATTAAAATTTTGACATGTTATTTATTTGTATATTATTGTCAACTATGATAGTGTTTTTATCACTTTTTTTTTTTTTGTTATGTTTCAAAAATGAACTTATTGTAAAATATTTTTCTATTGCATAGTATGTTAAATAAACTATAAAGCCTTAGGATGAAAATTAGAAAAAATCTCTTCATTATGTAAAGGATTTATTTTTTGCCAATTGTTAAATCATTCTTTTTTTAAAAAAAAAAGAATTATTATGAGAAAATTGAATTCTAAAAAACATGTGTGTGTATTTTGTAAACATTTATACCCAAAATTTTATTTTGAATTTCATTACATAAAGAAAACTACTTCTATAACTTTTATAAATAATAAGAATTACATTATATGACTGTAAATTTTATAATAAAATAATAATTGAGTATTATATGGTGAATAATAATTAATAAAATTTTTATTTTTTTCTTATATCAATGAACAAATATGTATTCTAAAATCAAATAAATATTAGTATGACGTGTTAGTGGAATTATATATTAATTAACATGTTAATTTTTTGGTTTAAATAAACACCACTTATTAAAAGATGTGAAATATGGATGATCTAAACCTATTGTTTTTTTGTCTAGACGTACAAGTCCTATAAAAATAATTGATTTATTATATGTATCACGTGCATCGCACGGGGTATGCACTAGTTTAGACTTAAGGAGGATAGGTTATGTAGGATCGTGTATATTTTGGTTACAATTCGAAAATGTAATAGTTTGTTATGCTTTAATGTTTCTTGAAGTAGAATATTCGGATGGATTTACGAAAAGCAAAAGGGAAGATACAATTACTTCAGAATTTACGTAGTTACAATTTTACTCTTACCAATTATTTGAACTAATTTGTAAAGTTATCTATATCTATTCTATACTACTTTAAAAGGAGGAGTGTTTTTGTAAAAATTCATAATGCCTAAAAAACCCTTACTTTGACATAAATTTAATGACAAATTAATAATATACTAATACACATCATATTTTGTTTATATTTTTAATTAAAAAATGAACTACTTAAAAAACCCTTACTTTCACATGTTTTTAATGGCAAATTGGTAATATACTAATGTCACATATCTTATATCCTCCCTATATATAATTAAAAAACATAACTTTTCTGAATTCAACATAAGCAAATCAATGAAAATAATATATTTTTAAAAATTTTATGAACAAAAGTTGACTCGACAATATTATTAATGAATTTATGAATTGTAAATATTTAATTAAAATATTAATCAAAAAATTGTAATTATGTATAATATAATATAGAATATACAAATATTTGATATATAATGAGGCAGATGATCGAAAAAATTATGTAATTTATATTATGTCATTTTTGACAAATCTACAATTAAGAACATGTGAAAGAACAAGATAAAAGTTTTAAAAAGATAATAAATATAAGAAAAAATATGAATAATAGCTAAGTTGTGACACATACTAATAAATATAAAACAAACTAATAAACAAAAATAATATAATTAATATAACTAAATATAAACCTTCTAAAAATAAACTTATCGATGTAATCGAACTGAGTTGCTAAACGCTTGTTAGTTTTTTGTTCTTATTAATTTTATGTGTAAATTTGAGGTGATAGACAATAGTTATTTGTACATTTATACATGTAGATTAAAAAAAAATATTTATTATTCTAATTTTAAATAATTCTTTTATTTACTATATTAGTTTTTTTAATATAATATATAAGTATCATATTGAACAGATAAAACACGAAATATTTTAATTATATAATATTTAATATGTAAGAAATGTAACTCAATTGGTAAATTAATAGGTAATTTTGGGATAAAATAATGAGTAATTTCTGAAAAAAAAAATTATAGGAACTAAAAAGTTCACGTGTTTAATATATTTTTAATAGAAAAATTGTAAACACAATTATTCAATAAATACTACATAAAAAATATAAGAAATCTTATATCCTCCCTATATATAATTAAAAAAAACATAATTTTTTTCAATTCAACATAAGCAAATCAATAAAAATAATATATTTTTAAAAGTTTTATAAACAAAAGTTGACTCGACAATATTATTAATGAATTTATGAATTGTAAATATTTAAATAAATTATTAATTAAAAAATTGTAATTAAATATAATATAATATAGGATATACAAATATTTGATATATAATGAGGCAGATGATCGAAAAAAATCTATACTTTATATTATGTGTTTTTTTGACAAATCTACAGTTAAGAACATGTGAAAGAACAAGATAAAGTTTTTAAAAAAACATTAAATATAAGAAATAATATGAAAAATAACTAAGTTGTGACACGTACTAATAAATATAAAACAAACTAATAAACAAAAATAATATAATTAATATAACTAAATATAAACCTTCTAAAAATATACTTATCGATGTAATCGAACTAAGTTGTTAAACGCTTGTTAGTTTTTTGTTCTTATTAATTTTATGTGTAAATTTGAGGTGATAGACAATAGTTATTTGTACGTTTATACATATAGATAGAAAAAATTCTTTATTATTCTAACTTTAAATAACTTTTTTATTTACTATATTAGTTTTCTTAATATAATATATAAGTATCATATTGAACAGATAAAACAAGAAATATTTTAATTATATAATATTTAATATTTAAGAAATGTAACTCAATTGGTAAATTAATAGGTAATCTTGGGATAAAATAATGAGTGATTTCTAAAAAAAATTATAGGAACTAAAAAGTTCACGTTTTTAAAATATTTTTAATACAAAAGTTGTAAACACAATTACTTAATAAATACTACATAAAAAAAATATAAGAAATCTTATATCCTCCCTATATGTAATTAAAAAACACAACTTTTCTCAATTCAGCATAAGCAAATCAATGAAAATAATATATTTTTAAAAATTATATGAACAAAAGTTGACTCGACAATCTTATTAATGAATTTATGAATTGTAAATATTTAATTAAAATATTAATAAAAAATTGTAATTAAATGTAATATAATATAGGATATACAAATATTTGATATATAATTAGGCAGATGATCGAAAAAATTCTATTCTTTATATTATGTCTTTTTTGACAAATCTACAGTTAAGAACATGTGAAAGAACAAGATAAAGTTTTAAAAAAATATTAAATATAAAAAATAATATGAATAATAACTAAGTTGTGACACGTACTAAGAAATATAAAACAAACTAATAAACAAAAATAATATAATTAATATAACTAAATATAAACCTTCTAAAAATATACTTATCGATGTAATCGAACTGAGTTGTTAAACGCTTGTTAGTTTTTTGTTCTTATTAATTTTATGTGTAAATTTGAGGTGATAGACCATAGTTATTTGCAGTGTTTAAAAAACCGTACCGTACCGGCCGGTAATACCGGTATTACCGGTTACCGGCCTTAGGTACGGTACAAAAACACACAAAATACCGGATTTTCAGTAATACCGTTTTGTACCGGTATTGTACCGTAAATACCGGGAAAAACCGGTCCAAAATACCGGCCATGAAAAAAAAAATTAAAAAAAAATATATATTTTTTTTTTAATTTAAAAACATAAAATTTAAATTGGTAATTAGAATGTTTTATTTTATTTCATTGGTAAGTTAAAATTAATGATTATGATCATTTATTTTTTATTTTTTTTTGTATTTGGTATTATATATTTTTATAAATAAATATATATATTTATTATATTTGCTAGTCCGGTAATACCACCGATATTACCGGTCGTACCGGTAATACCGCGTACCGGTGGGTAGACCGGTATGGCCACCGGTACGGTATTTAAAACACTGGTTATTTGTACATTTATACATGTAGATTAGGAAAAAAAATCTTTATTATTTCAATTTTAAATAACTTTTTTATTCACTATATTAGTTCTCTTAATATAATATATAAGTATCATATTGAATAGATAAAA